GAAACAAGTTCAATATGGCAAAGGGCTGGAAACTATTGTCTGGTGGGGTTTTCCACTTCTTTGTAGGAAGGTTATGTAACCTGTATTACTTTTATAGATCAACATAGTCACAATACCTTTCTATAGAAAGAACATATATGCATGTGTGTGTGTGTGTATGTGTGTGTGTGTGTGTGTGTGTGTATCAGAAGAGGAATCAGATGATTATGTTCCATGAGAGAATCCCGAAGATACAGCATTTACCAGGCCGTCAGGAATGCAGTGGTGAGAGGGGCCACAGAATCACTATGAGTTTCTGTTGTTGCTCTTGTTGGGTTGTCGTAGAGTTTGGCTCACTGATGGCAATGGGGATGGAGAGGATCTGAAGCAATGTGGGCCAGATGGCAGCACCTGACTGCTAGAAGCCAGGACATTGCACTGACCACAACAAGGGGCAAGGTTGAAGGCACAGCTAAGGGGGTTTGACAGGGAGGGGGTTATAAAGATGATCAAAAGAACATTTAATCCATAGTGGCAAAATAGATGAAAGCCAACAAGGGTGTTGCCTAACATATATGATCAAAAGAAGGCAAGAGTGAATGAGCAGCAGGCTAAGGATGGTCATGCCTATAGAAAGTAATGATCCTAGTAAGGTGTGGTGGCTCACACCTGTAATCCCAGTGACTCAGGAGGCTGAGGCCGAAGGGTTGCTTAAGGCCAGGAGTTCAAGAAGTGCCTGGGAAACACAGCAAGACTCCATCTCTAACAAAAAATAAAACAGTTAAAAAATAAAAAGAAAGTAATGATCCTTTGCCCACATCTCAGACCTAAGCCAGGTTTCAGACCCGAAAAACAGAGGTGCAAAGAGGTGCAAATCCACAGAAGAAAGAACCCTGAGATACCATGACAAAAACAAATGGTTAATTATTCTCATTTTCCTCAAAAGAGACTTACAGTCATTTACTTGAGAAAATATGCAATGGGGAAAGAGGAATAGCAAGATATTCTGAAGGCGTTCTGACTTAACATTGATTTACAGAGTTCCAAAGCATCTTGTTGGAGTGAAGGCATACAGGCACTAACTAATAAACACAATCCTGGTTAAAGTCTAGCTCTCAGTAGGTCCAGTGGGTCTGTGGACTCATCCAGAGGTCATTTCCCCAGTCCCTGAATGTATAATGAGTGTTGACACACTCGGCTGTAGAGTAACCTCCACTTTCAATTCTTCTCATTCTAACCAAATGAGCATTATTGGGGTGGGGAAGGCAAAGTGGAAGCTTATGAAACTGCATCCTCACACTCCCACCTTTCTCCAGCTCTGGCTAAGATGGTGAATCAAAAAATATTGTATTTGGTAACGGTGGTGGGGAAGAATGGCAGAAATTAAGGCTACTCTAAAGCTGCAGTTCCCAACCCCTGGGCCATGGACCCATATTGCTCTGTGGCTTGTTAGGAACAGGGCGCACAGTAGGAGGTGAGAGGCGGGCGAGTGAGTGAAGCTTCATCTGTGTTTACAGCTGCTCCCCATCGCTGGCATCACCTCCTGAGCTCTGCCTCCTGTCAGATCAGCAACGTCATTAGATTCTGATGGGAGTGTGAACCCTACTGTAAACTGTGCAAGTGAGGGATCTAGGCTGTGTGCTCCTTATGAGAATCTAATGCCTGATGACCTGAGGTGGAGCTGAGGCAGTGATGCCAGCAATGGGAGGTAGCTGCAAATACAGATTATGATTAGCAGAGAGGATTGACTGAACAATAAATATAATGTGCTTGAATCATCCCAAAGCCATCCCCCCTCACCCCACCCCGCTCCAATCTGTGAAAAATTGTCATCCATGAAACTGATCCCTAGTGCCAAAAAGGTTGGGGACCGTTGCTCTAAAAGATTTTAAGAACTCAGGGGGTGGTGGTCCATATCATAGCACCATTTAATTCACAAGTCTGCCCTCTACAGAAATAAAATGAATCTTGGAGAATTTCTAGACTATTGAAAACTCAACTAATAACCCCAATTGTGGCTACTGTGTTTGATGTGTTATCTTTGCCAGTGCAGATTAACATAGCATCAGGTACATGGTATGCAGACAGTGATTTGACATTCTTTTCTACCCCAGTCGGGAAAGATCTGAAACCATTTGCATTACATGGAACAGACAAAAGTATATATTTCAGTTTTGTCCCAGGTCTATGTTAACTCCTGTTGTCTGTCATAATATAATCCGATGACATCTGGGCTGTCTGGACATCCTGCACAACATCATGTTGATCAGGCAGGATGAGCAAGAAGCGGCTAGCATACTGGAGGCCTCAGTAAGACACATGCAATACAGAGCACAGGAGTTAAAGTTGGTGATGATTGAGGGACCTTCCACTGTTGTAAAGTGGGGTCCAGATTGGTCTAGGGCACATAAGGATATCTTTTTCAAATGACAAATTACCATATTTTGCCTCTTCTACCAAAATTCTTGTAGGAATCTGCCACCTTTGCTTATGGTGGCAAATATATCGCACATTTAGGAATGTGCTCTAGCCCACATACTGATTGACGTGAAAGGCTCCCTGCTTTGGGTGGAGCCTAGAGCAGAAAAGAGATCTGCAGGAAGTCAGGGCTACAGTGTAAGCTACCCTGGTGCTTGGGCCCTATGATTGGTAAACTCTGTGATGTTGGAGGTGTTAGTGATTGATAGGAAAAGATGCGGTTTGGTGCATCTATACACACACTACATACATATATATATAAGCATCACAACACAGACTTCTGAGGTTCTGGAACAAGGCCACACCATCTGCAACAGAGTCATATATGCCTTTTGAAAAAGAGTTCCTGGTGTGTTACTGGGGCCCCATGGAGATGGAATTCTTGACTATAGGACACTAAGTAATAATGTGTCTAGAACTGTCCATTATGAGTTGGGTTCTGTCAGACCCACGAGTCAGAACCTCAGGAAGACCCAGCAGCAGTCCATCATAAGACTGAAATTGAGCTTCTGGGTTCAAGCCTAAACAAGACCAGAAGTCATAAGGTAACTGCATGATCAGGTGGCCCAGATCCCCATGTCACCCACCATCACCATGTCGACACCTTTCCCTCAGATCATGCCTAGGACAATATGGGGGTCCTGTGTGACCAGCTAAAGGAGGAGAAAAAGCCTGAGTGAATAATGGGTTGGTCAGTTCAGCATGTTGGGGGCAAGCTGAAAATGAACAGTCATTTCACCACGAGGAGGGTTGAGGAACTGGTAAGGGAAAAATCATCTCAGTGCACAAAGGTCAGAGGGGTGCACCTGTTACCCATTTCATGTGGAGGGAGTATGGCTTGAGATGGGAATATACACGTACACACAGGCAGAGGCCAATAGTCAGGGTCAGGGGTCTGGAAGGAAAGGACTAAACAATTGCATTCAAGAATGTTTGATGTTTAGGAATGTGGGTGGACATATGGGAATGGACACCACAAAACATCCATCACAGAAGAAACGCTGAATCACCAAGTAGACAAAATGTCTAGGCCAGTTGACATTAACCAGTCTTTGAGCTGACACGGACATGTGAACGGAGGGACCACAGTGGCAGAGATAGAAGCCACACGTGGGCTCTGTCTCATACTTCAGCTACTAACACCTCTGCAAGTCTAACCTGCCTTCAAGAGAAATCAATGCCTCTCTCAACATGACACCTTCTTCAAGGAGGCGATTTTCAATCAGTGATTTTCCTTGCGATAGAGGATCAATGTACATCCAACATATGTAACAACACATTCAACATTTTCTTGAAAAATGCTGGGAGTTTTAGTACCTTCGGTGCCTAATTTTATTGCCTGCAGTACCTTCAGTGGTGGATCACTTCCTGGGTTCAGCCTTGTGCCTACTTAATTGAGTGGGAATAACCTTACAAATTGTACACTTCGATGTAAAAAAAAATCATAATGTTACATTGCCTAACTCAGGAAAGGAAAACCAACCAACGAACTATGGTATATGTACCAATAAAGCTATCTTTATCATAGCTGGGACACTAAATCTATAGTGTATGCAAAGTTTCTAATAACACCAGTTACTCTGTAAATGTTATTTGAATAATTATCAGTAAGACTATTGGCCTGGATAAGTGCCTTTACAGATATTGGAATTCGGAAATTTAACATTTTAATGAGAATTATTTTAAAGTACCATATCCCCGTTCCTGTTTTAAAAGAATTTTATTGCTTCAGTTTTTCTTAATAACGCTATGTCAACATATGGCCATCAAGCACTGCCTAGAATTAACAACGATGTCGTCAGGGGCTGATGGCAGGTATAAGGGTGTATTTGTCCTTTAAGTTGAAAGAAACAGAAACTAGCTTAAATTAAGGAGAATCTACTAAGAAGGTATTTGGTGTTCTCATGGCAATGACCACTCTCTAAGCTTATGGAAAGTTGAGCTAGCACCTGGAGAACCACCAGGAACAGGGCTGTGCGTGCGTGGAACACTGTCTCTTTCTTTTTTTCTCTGTTCCATTTTCTTGCTCAGTATGCATGTGGCTTAAATTGGTCGTTTCAGCCCTTACTAAACTTTTTATTTCTAATGCCAAATACCATCTATGAAGTCTCTCTGGTTCTTAGTTAAAACTATCAAGAATGAGAATATTAGATCTCCAAACATCCACCAAATTGGCTTTTTCTGAATCACACTTGGTCAGAGAAAGAGAGAGACCTGGAGTATTGGAGACCGGTGGCATCAACAGAGTGGTCCAGGCACACCCCTTGCATATGGCTTTGTGTGTGGCAGGGCCTAGGGAAGGGAAGTAACATCTAGTTTTGATCCTAACTTCGTGCTGGAAAAGTTATATCTAATCCTGCTACACGCTCTACCATGTTTCCATTTTCATCCTGACTTATTTACATTTAAGAGAGCTTTTCTGCTTTAGATGATATTCAGGGAAAATTGCAAGAATTAGAGTTTCTTTCTTTTATTTTTTTCTCCTGACTTTCCTCATTGCATTTTCTATCTAGAATTGTATTAAAAACAGGTTCTGTTACTATTTCAGGGAACACCAACATACACACCCCTATGAAGCTATATTTCTTTGAGATCAACTTATCTCAAACACAATGGTTGATCAGCTCCAAGGAACATGGAAATCCATTTCTTGTGAAAATTTTGAAGACTATATGAAAGAACTGGGTGAGCTATGTTTACTTGCATATCGTAGCCAATAAAAATGGGAGTTTTGAATTTTAAAAATGATAATTTTGATACAGAACTTGCTCTGTATAAACTAATAATAATCTTGGACTGTTTAATTTTTTACATAGAAAAAATAAATATTGATTCAGCATCAAGAGACAGTTGTATGCAAAGCTAGGTTGGGATTGACATAGTCCCTTATGCAATTTACCATGAGTTTACATAAACAAAACAAGCAGATACCACATACTAAACAGCAAATGATTTTAATAAATTATTTAAAACAAAAAGACAATTATTTTAAAAAATGATATTTTACAAACATTTGCTCTAATCTTCAGATGTCTTCAGAATAGATCTTGTCTTCCAGCTTCCAGCGGCTGCTGGCATTCCTTGGCGTGTGGCCGCAACACTCCAATCTTTGCTTCCGTTTTCACACTGCCTTTTCTTCTGTAGTCTAACATCCCTCTTCTCTCTTATAAGGAAATTTGTGATTATATTTAGGGTCCACTCTGATAATCCAGGATAATCTCCCCATCTCCAGATCCTTAAATTAACCACATCTGCGAAGTCCCCTTTGGCATATAAGGTAACACTCACAGGTTCCAGAGATTAGGATATGAATATCTTTGGGGACCGTTATCCAATCTGTCACATCTTGTGGTTGTATTTTATAGCATGAATTCCATAAACCACATTACAGTATTTCCCCCATATATCTTTTCTCAGAATTTTAATTTAGTTATTGCTGTGTAAGTAGTGCTATTTCTATTGAAAATATTCCTACATGTGATACACAAAGCCATGTGTGCAAGGATGTTCACTGCAGAATTATTTATAAAAACAAAAATGGAAACAAATTGTTCATAAATAGGGAGACAGATAAAATAAATTTTGGTATATACATACTATGGAATATTATGCAGCTATGAATAAATATGTCTATATGTACTGACTTGGAAAATCTTTAAGACATACAGGTAAGAGGAAAAAGCAAGTTGAATAACAATGGATATAATGTTTATGCTTTTAAAAATTCTATATATGGTGGTGATGGTTGCACAACATTGTGATAAACTTAATGCCACTGGATTGTACACTTGAAATGGTTAACATGGGAAATTTATGTTACATATTTTTTACCACAATAAAAAATACATAGAAGAGAATAATAATAGAGAAAACAAACTCCATATATGTGTACATATATAAGAATGTAAGTGAAGAGCTTACATTCTTACATTATATAAATAATCCATATCAAAGTATTTTGGTTGATTGTGAATGGATATAATTGTAAAATAGGGAGATGGCTCATAGCTTTAATCATATTTTCAACAAGATTAATAAATCCACAAGATTAATAATAAATCATAAATCAACAAGATTAATAACCACTAGACTAAAGAAACAAGCCAATCGCTTAACAACTAGAGACTAATTTTTTTGTGTGCAAAAAATGAGGATTTTTTTTTTTCCTGCAAAAAATAATCTATTTTAACATATAATGGTGGAGCTACTAGCTTTAGAGATGTGAATTCATGAAGGATTAAATCTTTTCGACTCAAAAACCTCCCGGTTAACAAAGAATTACACAAATAATGTGAGTTCTTGGAGCCAACAACAAATTTAACTACATGTCCTTTTATCTGGTTTCTAGGAATAGGAAGAGCCAGCAGGAAACTTGGCCGTCTGGCAAAACCCAGAGTGACCATCAGTACAAATGGAGATGTGATCACGATAAAAACCAAAAGCATCTTTAAAAACAATGAGATCTCCTTTAAACTGGGAGAAGAGTTTGAGGAAACCACACCAAGTGGCCGTAAAACCAAGGTGAGGCCTACAACAATTTGTGAGGTAAATTTTATAAGAATGTTAGTTAGAAATCATCCGAAGTAAGTAAGCAATTATAGCAAACATACTTAAAGTCTTTATGATAAACTTTTGGCTAAAACCTAATTCTGAGGATGTTAAATGTTAATATACAAATCTCCTGGGATATTTTAAAAATGCTTACTGCTCAATCCCATCCTCAGCTCTGATGTCTGGGGTGGACATCTGAAAATCACATTTTTAAATAAGTCTCAAGTGATGCTTAGCGGACCACATTTAAAGAATCATTTCCCTAGATTAATATTTATACCACTCAGAAACAAAACGTCTCCCTTTCCATTTTGTAGCAGTTTTCCATGCATAGAGTTGCAATGAATTAAACTGGTATTAGCTGCTAGTTTTAACTTGTGTTAGGCGAAGTCAGGCCATCATAACGAATGAATCACAAGGTCACAGTGGCTTAACACAATGGGGATTTATTTCTAACTCACAGTCCGTATGTGATGTTGGCGTGGAGTTGGGGAAGTTTGCCTGTAAAGGGGCGTGGATAGGGTATCTGCCCCTCTTAATCTCTCAGGGATCCAGGCCAGAGCAGGTTCAACTACCTTGTAGCTGCGCCATCTGGAAATCGAGGTCTTCTCAGTCAACAAGATAGAGAAAGAGACACTGATTGGCCTTTGTATTGCCTCGGCCTGAAAGTGACACACAGTTTTCATTTCTATCTTATAGGCTACAACTGAAATACATCATTTATTTAAAATACATAATTTACTCTCATGTTTATTGTTTATTGTCTGTTTCCCTACATCAGAATGTGAGTTTCTCAAAGACAGGATTTCCTGTCTCACAGAACCCAGAGCTTGCTCGTGATAGTTAATAAATATCTGTTGTTTGAATGAATGAACTCAACATAGGATTGTTAAACTATATGGATGGTAATATCCTGATAAAAGGAACTGTAGTTCCGCTTTAATAGACAGATACTATTAATAAATTAATATGAGACTTTAAATTCCTGTGCCATATAAAATAGAAGATAATTTTGATCTAAAATGTTTAATAAAGATGTCTGTGCTAAATTAAAAAAAAATCTAGAAGGGAAAAGCTGGAAAATATTTTTGGGGGAAAAAGGAATTTTGAATTAGCTTCACATATATTTCTAAAATTGGAGTTTACTTGTGATTCTTTATGCAAAAAGATAACACTTTGCCTATATATATAGTAAAAAAGAAAAAGAAAATTTCACTTACTCCTTAAGATAATATTACGTTTTTACTCTTGTAAATCTTTTTTTCCCCAGCAGAATCAGCCAACAAATTTACTGTTGACAGAGTCTTAAAATAAATGGGATTGTAAACAAATTCTAAACTATCTGAGAATATCACAACAGCTAAAAAGAATTGGCACCTGATGGAATTTTGGTGTTCAAATATGACAATCTGATCTGAATTCTGTTTTGTCTGTTTTTCAGAATAAAGTAACCTTAGATAACGATTCCTTGATTCAAGTTCAGGACTGGGATGGCAAGGAAGCCACCATAACGAGGAAACTGGTGGATGGGAAAATGGTGGTGGTGAGTGAGTCGGTTCTCATATTTCCTCACCTATCGCAACCCCAGTATAAAATCACTCAAGTAACTTGTTCTCAAACGATAGCAAATGCCATTTTTTTCTCTTACCTTATAAGAATGACGAAAAATATGATCAGATAAATGTATAATTATGAATATTATAAAATGTGCATGGATTGAAGAAGTAAAAAAACCAAAGAAAATTTTAAAAAATTCTTTGACTCACAGGTAAACCAAAGCAAGCATGTATTTGTGCAATAAAGACTTTAGCAGGGATTGAGTGTTGTTGCCAATCCTCTACTCCATGCCAGGATTAACTTTTCGCTGTTCCTCCAACTCAACACCAAACAAAAGCATGAAAAGGAATTTGAAACTAGGGTTATGAAGTTGGAGTGGTATCTTTTTGGTCTATGGATGAGTTAACACAAGTAAGAACTAATACTTATGTGGTTACCATGCCCCTAAGCTTTCACATATTAATTTTGTTTACCCAATCCTCTTAACAGTCCTGTGAGGCAAGATTTATTAGCCCATTTGACAGGCAAGGACACCGAGATTCAGACACTGACTTACCTAAGGATATAGCTAGAAAAATGTAGTGGTGCTGAGATTAAAATCCAATTGGTTTAATTCCAAAGTCTATGCTTTATAGAATCCATCCTGCTCCCTGTTGGGATGGCTTTCCAGGTCTTCCCCACCTCTGCAGAGTGGAGGGATGTGTGTCAATGATTCTTCTCCTCCCAAACCCCCACCTGCACCAAACTGAATAAAAAGGTAATTTCGAACATATTATAAAATAGTTCTAGGGAATATGCAAGGTTCTTATAGAGGTAAACAACATCTAACTTCATTTCTTAATACAGAGTTATTTTTTTCTTTCTGTAAAAAGAGCACATTTTAGGACAGGCACAGTAGCTCACACCTGTAATCCTAGCACTCTGAGAGGCCGAGGCGGGAAGATTGCTGAGGTCAGGAGTTCGAGACCAGCCTCAGCAAGAGCGAGACCCTATCTCTACTAAAAATAGAAAGAAATTAGCCAGACAACTAAAAACAGAAAAAATTAGCCAGGCGTAGTGATGTAGGCCTGTAGTTTATCACTTGAACCCAGGAGTTGGAGGTTGCTGTGAGCTATGCTGATGCCATGGTACTCTAGCCCAGGCAACAGAGTGAGACTCTGTCTCAAAAAAAAAAAAAAAAAAAAAGTACATTTTATTCTTTATAAAGTCAGAAGGGGAAGGGATGACTGATTTTACTGCTGCTTATCATGACATAGCCAATAAACAGACAGGTTTTATAGTTCATTAGGAGGAACACTAGACTCAGAATCCAAGAATATGGATTTCCATTTCTTCCAGTCAGTACTTTTGTAACTTTGGACAAGTTATTTGTCCTCTCCAAAATTCAGATTCCTGGCCTTCAAGATATAGACAATGTCTTCATGAAAGGTTTTCTGAGATAATTAAATATCATCATTATGTATCAGCGTGCTGAAAACCATAAAATACTATACTACATCAATGTAAGTTAGTATTCTTATTTGAAAAATGTAAAGTATGTAAAATAACAAAAATGCTTCAATGTTGGCATTTAAAATACTTTAATAAAAACTTAAAATTCCAAACTGTATGCCTTGCTTTCTTCATAAATATATAAACATTATATATACCTTCTATATGCACCATATGTACCACACGTATGTGATTTTCCATATATATTATATATAATATGGCAAAATCAGCTAACAAATTGGTCTTATTTATAGTCTATATAGATCTCTTTTCAAGACTTTTAAGGAATGTGTATATGGATATTACTTAGTTTACATTTTTCTAAACATCAATTTCACCAACAATACTTACCTATCTCATCCTTCTTTTGTCTTCTAGGAAAGTGCTGTGAACGACGTTATCTGCACACGGACGTATGAGCGAGTATCAGCAGATACAGTCTCAAACTCTTAAGCTTTCTCAGGCTGTGATCCAAACTACTGAGGTTGTTTAAATACAACTTCCAAGTAAAATATTGTGGCTGTTAATATAAAAGAGCCTCTCTTTGCACAAGCATCAACAATTTTGTTTGCTCTGTTAAATATGCCTATATCATATAGTATCTTGGCATTGGCAGCTATGAGAAACCAGGATGATATATCAATGCAGGGCTGGGACGATATATTAAAACAGGCACTTCATGCTGATTTTCTTCTTATTATGCATTTTATGTCCATCCTCTAAATTCAACATGATCTGTACTATATTGGGAAAATAATATTAAGTTTTTAATAAACTAGTTAGGACATACAATATACCTCACAGATCGCAGCCTCAACTGTATGTGAAAGGATAAGAAACATGTTTGGAACTAAAAGCAATACTGACATCTAATATAATATCTTACTATTATCACAGAGAATACCACAACCACTACCATCATCACTGAAAGCCGCACCAAAGGAGAATATTTTGTTTCATTGGCACCAAATATTATGCAGTGTTAGGCCTGGGAGGGATTGTAGAAACTGTGCGGACCGACCACGTTATTTTGTGGATGGAGAAGCAGGTCCAAGTCAGTTAACTGTCCACTTCTTCACTATCACCTAGATTATTTCAGGAAGAACTGGAACCGAAATCCACATTTCCCAATTATTAACCTCACAACCATAACAAAGTGAATTTAGATTGGAACTGTTCGGTAGAAACAGGTTCATAGTGTACAATTATGAACCAAGTGAAATACTACATCACACTAATGAATAAACAGCTTCCCTTTGTCTTAAAACATGTGGGATTTTATAGGATGCCATAGCTTAGTCCAGATGAGGACATAGAGTTTGACCATTTGAACTTGTGGTCTGTCACTGCTTATTTGTCTGATTGATACATGGGGGATCTTGGTATTCTGGTAGAAGTGAAAGAAGTGCTTGTTTATTTTTTGGTTTACTGAAATGACAAAGAAGATAATGGAAGACACAGAAAGATATCTGTCCCCTGAGCTTCTTGGACTGGACAGAGAGAGGATTCCAGGCAGAGGCTCAAGGAGCAATTTTCCTGAGACCCTGTGCATGGCTGTGGATGTGCGCAGCTCTGCCGCAGGCCTAGGTAACAGCTTGCTGTAGAGATAGGAGAGAAGCAGTCCCCCATCGGAATGGAGCCCAGCACTGCTCTGACACCTCGAGGGTCAGTGGCTGCAGGAGCTTTGGAAAACAGTGCTCTTGGCACTGGTGTTAGTGTCTTGCCTGCTGTGGTAATGGAGATACTCTCATAAGCAGCAGGAGACAGTAGAAGAAGAAGGGTTAGTTATGAGATACCAGGAGGACACAGGAGGGACATCCCTGGTGAGTCTCAGGAACGCCTGGTGGGCAGGGCCTGGGAGCAGGGTGGACTTTGCAAGGACTGGTGTTTTGCATGACCAGGTGTGAGCAAGAACATGACATTTGGATATTGATGTGAATATGATGTTACTTGTCAACAATCTAGTGAAGTTTAGGGACCTCTGAGTACTCAAAAAAACAAAACAAAACAAAACAAAAAACCCTACAAAAGTACAACAGCAACCAAAGATTGTATGCAGTGATAAACCACATGCCTACCTTCCTGCCACTTCCTTTACCCAGCTGAGAATCATTAAAGCAGGAAGTCATTCACTGTGGTTGATGGAAGTGCATATCCTTTGGGGATGGTTGGGCAACCATCTAGATAAACCAAATCAAACAAGAGACATTGCTGCTCCAAAGTGATACGGTAATTCAGGGTTTGCTACACATTTGCCCTGTACCAGGTACGGCCTGAGAGCTGGTGATAGAAGAACCAGGTCATGTTTGTTGCCCTTGATCAACTCAGTAGAGAAATGGCATATTGGAAGGGTATCACATGAGCATACTAATCTCTGGGAATTTATAAGCACCAGGTTATAAAACAAATGTTTCTATCTGGACAGAAATATCTAAAACCACTTTCTTGGTGAATAATTGCCTTGCCTGGGATAGAAGACACCTAGCAACAGGGTGGTACACACGTCAACAGTGAGGACAGCAGTCTGGGTGGGAAAATCGTGGAGGGACTCCTACGGCTCCTTTCACAAGACCTGTCCTAGAGAATTTATGCTTCTGTGCTGCAACCTCGGTGTAGCTTATATCAATTTAGTTTGAATCAATTATCATTAATCAAGATAATTAAAGAAATGGAGTTATTCCTAGTGAGGTATAACATTTTTTTTTTAAGCTGGAAAAAATTGAGGTTTTTTTAAAATATATTCTTTGATTCAGATTTAGCCAAACTATACTAGAACAGCCATTAGAAAACCACCGATGGAGGATGTTTAGATTTACTTAAACAGAGTTAATATTGAATATTTCCTATCTGGCAAATAAGTTTGGGAAAATAATGTTCCATTCGAATAATGTGGTGGGCAATAACCTGAGACTGAAAATGAAATAATAATAATAATAACAGACTGTTGAGTACTTATTAAGTGCCAGACACTGTGATTAAACTTCCTATTCATAACCTCATCTTCTTCATGAGATATTTATAAAAGTATAAACTAAGACTCAGAGAGGTTAAATATTTAGTTTAAAGTTCCTCAGCTGATCAATACCAGGGCCAGAGTTCAAAACTAGGTCTCTGTGCCTCCACAGTCTATGCTTGTTAGCCGTGATGCCACAAGCTTCTCCAGAGACTGACATTATGAGTTTCTTTTAGAGTCTTTCGATGTAATAATAAATATTAGGTTATTAAGTATGATATGTCCGATTTCCTTAAGTACTAAGTTTGACAGTTGATATCTCTGACATTTCACTTTGACACTTTTTGTTTTATTTTTATTGTGAAGGTACATCCTCATTCTTTCAAATGAAGTTTGGCTTGTGATTATCTTTCAAATTTTTTTAGAGCACTTTTTATGAAAACCATGGATAAGTAAAAAATTTGTGTTATTTTCGAATATGAGTTCCATCGTGGAACCAATGCAGCATAGACAGCTTGAAATATCAATGAAGTGTTTGGGAAGGATGTGGCTAATGAATGCACAGTACATCAATGGTTTGAAAAGTTCATTCTGGTGATTTTCGTCTTGAAAATGAGCCACATGGGTGACCTGAGACCAAGGTGAATAATAATGAGCTGAAAGCTGTAGTGGAAGCGAATCCATCTTAACCTATGTGGGAATTAGCAGCGAGGTTTGACGTTACTATTCCAACAATATTGGACCATTGGAAACAAAATGGCAAGGTCAAGAAGCTGGATAGATGGGTACCACATGAATTAAACAAGCATCAGAAAAGAAATCGTCTCGAAGCTTACCTTTCTTTGCTGTCACGACATAAAGGCAAACTATTTCTAGACTGTATTGTTATGTGTGATGAAAAACGGATCCTTTTTGACAATCGCGAGGGTTTGGGTCATGCTAGTAGGACCAGAAAATATGACATGTGAGTAAAGTTATGAAGGCAGTTAGGGAATGAGCCAGGCATATAACTCAGGAAGAGAGATGAGACTGAGTAAAGGCTCTGAGGTAGGAGCATGTTGTGGTTGAGGAAAAGTAAGACAGCAAGTGTAGCATGAAAAGACTGAGCAAATGGGAGAGTAGTAAGAGATAAAGGTGGAGAGATAATGGTAGAGAGAGATTGTGGTGGGCCTTGTTGGCCATGGCAAGAATTTTGGCTTTTACTTTGAGTGAGATGGGAGCCACTGAAGAGTAGTTAGGAGAAGAGTGACATGATCTGATGTACATTTTAAGAGGATCATGGCCGTCGGGTTCAGAAGGTCAGAGGTAAATAGGTCAATTGGAAATCATAACAATATTCCAGTCATGTAGTAATGGTGCCTTGCAGTAGGGAGGACAGTGGGGAGGGTGAGAAGCAGTGGGATTTGGGATATATTTCTAAGTTAGAGCTAACAGAATTTAGTGATGGATTGGATTTTAAAGGAGCGAGTTAAGAGCTGTTTAAAAATTTTTGGTCTTAGATATTAGAAAGATGCATGTCATTAATTGATATTTATAGCTACACTATGCCAAAACAATTGCCTGATTCTATAAGTTCACTGAAAAACTAAACAGAGAAAGACAGAACAAATTAAACTGATCCCCCGAAAAGTGGCTAATGTATTTATTCAGAAAGCACTAGCGACTTCCCCTTCTGGCCAAATGGAGTAGCAGGGGCCAGATTTACCCTTCCACCTATAACAACAAAAACTGGACAAATTGTATAAAACAATGGTTTTCAAGACAGGACATCAGGCAAAAAGAACAGTGATTGATCCCTGAGAGAAGAGAAACAGATGAGGTGAGCACAATCACTGCTGCAGCCTCTTTGCATGCCTTTAGGAGTACCAACACCAGCTGGGCAACATGCTCTGGCCTCACAAGTCTGAGTCCCAGCTTCGTGGAACCCCTCCTCCAAGCACTGGCATTCTAATACTCCATCCCTTTCCTTTTGCTCCTGCAGCCATATGGGGTAGTAGCTGAATCCTGCTGTTACTCTCTTTGTCTTACCGCTGTGTAACTTTTTTAGTTCTCCAATACCAGCTTCAACATTCCTTGTATTAAAATCTCTTTGATGTGTGGTTTCTACTTTTCTGACCAATATAGAATGCCTACTGTGTATCCAGCAGTGTACTAGGTCACTTAGTCACTTATAATGTAAAAATTTTTGATAAAATCCAATCTGGCAGATAAAAACCAACCTCATTTTGTGATTAAGGAACTTAAGCCTTAGAGAAGTTAAATAATTTTCCCCAAGTTTATGGAGATGCTCATGGTACTTCCAAGATCCATGCCTATAGCATTGTAAAGTTTTTGCAATCACTAAGTAATATTGTAGTTGGACAAGGGGCTTTGAAAGAAAATTAAGTCTTTTGGCATTACTTCAAGGATTATGGCTAACCTCAGGATTATTGCTATTTATGTGTCACTTTAAATAATTTTATTTGAATGAGTTTATAACTAGAAAGCAACTCTTCTTATACAATGCATTCCAAAGTCAAGCACTTGTAGCAATTTCCTCCATGACTGGATGATCTACTCTATT